CCGGGCATTGTACGGGCGAAATTTATTTATCGGGATAAAATATAGCCTATGTAACTCGGACAAAATGTATTTAAATAAAGAAAAATGTTATAATAAATAACGTAGCTACCTTATGTTGAATTAGTATTTGAAACCGGTTTAGTACACTTCTGGACACATCTTTTGGCCCACCTTAGAGTTTAGGTTTCGATGGCCCCTACCGAAATATGATTGCTAGATTGAACAAAAACTGTTGATGCAGTTTTGAACCTGATACATTTTACCATCTTTTTCGATCGTATTGTTTTAAATTTGAATTCAGAATACCATACGACATGGAGCTACGCCTAACAAGTCGGATATGCGCCTTGTTAAAGGCAATTGATTTCTGAATAAAAAACATGTTTTATCAAATACAGGTTTAATTTAATAACGCGTGTTGCCTCGGTGGGCATCTACCACAGCTCTCATACGATTAGGCATAGAGTTTATCAACCGTTCTATGAAATTTTGAGGAATCATCTCCCATTCTTCTTCTCTGGCAGATTTCAACTCCTGCATCGTCTGGGCAACTGGCTGACGAGCCCTAACACGTCTTTTTAGCTCGTCCCACATGTGCTCAATGGGGTTCATGTCTGGGCTTCTGGCTGGCCAGTCCATAACTGTGATGTTCACATCCCGAAGATATTCCCTGACGATGCCGGCCGCATGGTCTCTTGCATTATCATGCATAAAAAGGAAATATGGGCCCACATAGTCCGCGTATGGTATCACGTGAGGTTCTAAGCACTCACGAATGTACCTTTCAGCATTTAATGTTGGCAGCCGTGGTCAAAAGCAACCCTCTCTTCAAAGGAGCATTGTACGAAATGCTCTCCCTTACGTCGGTAGACCTTCTTCCTTCCATCATTGCCATGTAACACAATTTTAGACTCATCAGAAAAGAGTACACGGCTCCAATCTTACTGTGTCCAATTTAAATGACTGCGTGCGAAATGAAGGCGCGCTGTTCGGTTCGCGTTAGTTTGGGCCCATTAGCTGGCTTGTGTGGTACCATATCGCGTTCTTTTAACCTTCTCCGAACAGTTCGAGCGCTCACAGATACTCCGTGGAAGTCGCGAATTTGTTTTTGTATCTCAATGGAGGTAAGGTGACGATTTCTCAAGCTGGTCGTCACGATGAATTGATCCTGCCTTTCAGTTGTGACCCGAGATCGTGGCCTTCCTTGGCGACGAACAAAGCCGCCAGTCTCTAGGTACCTCCGATAAACATTTTGGACCGCAGATCGACTTAAATTAAGTTGAGCACTCACGTTTCTTTGGCTGTGTACGGCCTGAATAAGTGCCACAGCTTGGGCGGCGACTTCAGGTGAAGTATCCATAGATTATTGATAGAACCTCACCTTAATGTTAAGAATAAGTAATGTTTGTTGCAAAATCAAAGATATCAATCACTTTTTCAAGAATTAAATCCAAGTAAACCAATAAAACCAAGTTTTCTTAGTATTCGATTGTTTGATATCAACAAACAAGCTCCAAATTGTCTTTTGTTTCTTTAAATTCTGTGTTTGAAATTCAAAAAAAGACTATGAATGAAATTGTGAATACGCCAGGTTCAAAACTGCATAAAAACTTTTTGCTCGACCTAATATAAAATTTTAGCTAGGACCAAACGAAACTGAAAATACAAGGTGGGCCAATAGATGTGTCCAGAAGTGTAGTTTGACAGATTATTAGTTATAAACATACAAATTTTGCCTCTTTATAATATTAGTATAGATAGTTAGAATAAGATAAGTATTTAATTGATGAAAAAGATTTAAAAATAAAGTAAGTAATACGTTTATTTGATTATATTTGTAAAAGTTACTTAGCATTTGTGCTTAACAGTGATACGTTACCGTCTTAAAATACTAACTAACTAAAAAGTGTGAAATAAAAAAGGTAAATTTAAAAAATCAAAAAACCCGACTGCTTAATTATACTTCAAATAAAAACTGAAAAGAAAAAAACAAGTCCAGTAAGTAGTCTATAATTCTGTTAATAAGGAACAAAGCTACTTTAACAGTCGGGACCCACTGTTGAAAAATATTATGTATTCTTGAATATCTAATGGGTCCCGACTGTTAAAGTAGCTTTGTTCCTTATTAACAGAATTATAGACTACTTACTGGACTTGTTTTTTTCTTTTCAGTTTTTATTTGAAGTATAATTAAGCAGTCGGGTTTTTTGATTTTTTAAATTTACCTTTTTTTATTGATAGTGTAAAGCTCGAATAAAGAGTACTCCTAGTAGTGCAATCATGGCAATTATTTTCCAAATTTTTTTTTTGTTATAAAAATACCGAATAACGTTTCACTGTTAAGCACAAATACTAAGTAACTTTTACAAATATAATCAAATAAACCTATTACTTACTTTATTTTTAAATCTTTTTCATCAATGAAATACTTATCTTATCCTAACTATCTATACTAATATTATAAAGAGGCAAGATTTGTATGTTTCTAACAAATAATTAGTCAAACTACTGAACCGGTTTCAAATATTAATTCATCATAAGGTAGCAACATTATTTATTATAACATTTTTCTTTATTTAAATACATTTTGTCCGAGTGACATAGGCTATATTTTATCCCGATAAATAAATTTCGCCCGTACAATGCCCGGGTGGATCACTAGTAAGTATAATATTAGTATATTATACTTACTAGTTACTTAATATTATAGATGCGAAAGTGCGTTTGTTTGTTGCGCTTCCGTGCCCTAATAGCTAAATCGAATATAATGCATTCCCATATAGAAGTAGATGGGAACTTGGTTCTTAGCTACAACATCGCAATACTTATAGGCGTAGGGTGATGAAAGGGGTGATTTACCTATAAAAATCTACATTATTTACTTTGAATTTTGCAGAATTATTACAAAACCAATATTATCGCGAGCCGATTAATAAATACAGGGATTTCAATAAGTATGTACTTACTAGCGAAAAATGGGTTATTTGTCATTATATTAAGTAAACCTTTTTTGTAGCATTAAGTAATATCGTTGAAAAAAATGAAAATCAGTAAAATTCTGAGTTTTTCATTAAAATTCAATAATCATAAATACCTATTATGATAATATATTTTTCATCATTTAATAAGAAGGAACTGTATCACAGTTTTATTGTTAGTACTTCTAGTACACCGCGCTATCACTTTGTCATCGTTGTAACTTTTTAAATATTTGTCGAAATGACATAGGGTAAAAAGCAAAGTTTATCGTTTTTAAATATCAAAAGCGATAAAAGTATTTGTTTTGATAAAAAATGATTTGTTAATACAAAATGTGCATTTTGGAAATAGATATCAAATAATATATTAGTTTTGATTCACTATTTTAGCGGTAATGGCTTACACATTAAAGATGGATATATGGTGTCACGGACTTTTTTTTAGAACTATTTAAGAGATACATTTTCACTCTACATTATATTCATGTAACTTTTATTGTTTTTGCAGTGCTGGCCAAAATGGCTCGCAGACGGGAGATTTTTTCCGTCTTATGTAACACTTATTGTTATATATTGGCCAATTCACTTAGTAACTACATAAATTATTATATATATGTAATTATCATATATGAGCTATATTACTGTTAAGTTTCATTAAAATCCATTCAGTATTTTTTAGGTGAAAGAGTAACAAAGATCCATACAAACGTAAGATTGAAATTAAAATCACAAGTGGTTAATATACAATTTTAAAGCGTTGTAGATCCTAAACAATCATATGAAATGAAAAATGGTGTTAGGAACCTAAATATGATTTTTGATTATCTAGACAGTGAAACCCCACTCGACATATTTTGTCAACTTATTTTTTTTACTTCGTCACAATATGGCGCCTAATTTTGCCCATATTGAATTTTGTTTACTATCATATCTTTAGTAGCAGTCCCATGATTGAGACGAATCGATTGATGTATGAATCATCAAAATCGGTCCAGGCGTTTGGTCTCTAGTGTGCCACAAAGGAACAAACATACATATATAGACTGTTAAACACATAACCCTGTCTGCGCGTCGCGCTTCGCGCTCTTGCATTGCGCAGCCGGGTAAAAATGATTAGAGTGAAATTTTAAGATGCGCGCGCATCAATGTAACACAAAAAATTAACAGCATGAAGTTGGTGGCCTCGAAGCGACCAACTTCATGCTGTTACTTTTGTGTTTACCGCACATTAAGAAAATCTACCAACAAAATAGAAATAGAATCTCTATTTAGTGGGTGCTAATGACTGCATTGTGAAGGCCTATCAAAAGTATTTATTAATCTGGAACAACGGAACCAAAGCGCGATTCAGGAGACTACAGCGACATCTCTTGACCATTGGTGTAGTAGAACCAAAAACCACATCTTTATTTTTTGTCATAAAGTAACAATTATAGGTATTCATATTTATAATATTTATCCACATGTTTCTAGTTTGTATATTCGGAATACGTGTTTGAGTTTCATACAAGTGCAAATCACATATGTTCTAATAAATTATATTCAGTAGCGATTTTAATTGAATAATTTGATTATTTATTTATTTTTTCAAATTAAAACTGAACTTTATTGACGGTGTCTTTTTCCAGACTTTTTATTAATTTATTGTAATTAATTATTTGCATGCAATTAAAAACTAATTTTAAACGATGCCAAAGAAGGATAACTTCTCACGCGCCTACATAAGTACACGCACCCATTTTTTTTATATACCTATCTACTAGTACGTTATTTGTTTCTAATATTTAGTTATTTCGGTTTTTCCATCGGGCAAAATATCTGGAATAATATATAAATAAGTGGTTAGGATGAAAAAAGAGACAAACGAGTAATCTACCTACACTCGCGTTAAAAACAAATCTACATAAAATACTATAGGCGGGCGGCCCTACCGCGTGCTAACGCAGCGCTCGGCCGTAGGCATTTATTTTCAAGGACAGGGCGGAGTCACATAACTGTATAGATAATATTACCGTGCCTACGGCCTACAGATCGGCGGATAGCACCGGGCGGCGAGGGGGCGCCGGGGGCGCGGGCGGAGGCACGGGCGGGGGCGGGGCGAGGCGCTCGGCGTCGCGCGCGTGCTGCGGCAGAGCGGCGCGACGAGTCTCCGGCGCACACAGCACGACCAGCGCCGCTGATAGAGAGCACGCGCCGTACAGTAACGCCTGCACGTACATGCTCTGCAACGAGAAATTGATCGAAATGACAGTTGGCACGGCTAGGGATGCTAAAGATACATCGATGTTAGTAAAACATCGAGGTATAGGTAATAAACATCGATGTTTTGATGAGCGATATATCGTCGATACATCGTTCACTACATTTACAAACATCGACATCGTTCTTGTCTGTTCGGATTTTCGGAATCACTGTGACGTTCGCTCGCATTGCATTGTTGTGCTGACACGTAAAGCGTAGATGATTTTGATTAAATATAATTTGATTCTTTGACTACATACCTATAAACATTTTAGAATTCTTGATTGGATGAGTAATGTACTCGCTGAATTAATTTATAAAGTAGTTAGATTTTGATGGTTTGTTTTTTCTTTAGGTTTTTGTTGGCGGGTACGCGAAAATTGAGCGTATAATTTTAAGGTTAAAAAAAGTGACAAAACGAATAGCTTGTTGATTAAAGCAGCTTGTGAACTGACAGTTTATATTAATTTGTTTATTTGCCTAATTGAATGATGACAATGAAATGAGAATTTTGTTATAATTTAATTTACTCATCATGTAATTCTTATTTTTATTAACCTTTAAGCATCGAGCATACTTATACCGAATAGAGCGGTATTGTTAGCTGTTTCAATGAAGCATCCTATTAAAAATAAAAAAACATCGATATATCGCTCTTATCAAAGATATTTTTGAACATCAATGTTTTTCATGCAAACATCGACGTTTTATAATATCGATGTTTTTCAGAACGATGTTGCATCCCTAGGCACGGCCCACTAGAGTCTGGATTATTTGTAATAATTTTTGTTTGATATTTAAGTTGCCAAAGTTGGCGGTGTGCGAGGAGCTCCATAAGCTGCATATGCATAAGCTTGGAAATGGGCCATCAACATACATAGAAGTTTAAGAAGTGACAGTTCATTAATACAATAAATTCTTAAAACAACCAAGCCCCTTGAACAAGGGCTTGAAACCGGTTTCGAAAATACTGGTAAATAAAGGTTAATACCGGTTTTTAGTAAAGGTTTCGCTCGGAACGCGTCCGAAATGAAAGCGGTACCTGAAACCTTAATAAACCGGTTTAATCCAGAGCGACACGTGCACGCGTCGGCATCGCTTGAAGTTTGTTTTGTTTGAACTAATCAAGTCATAACTTGTTAATGCAGAGAGATTGGTGCATTTATTGACACGTTTGCTAGCGTCTAGTGAGTCGAGTTATTCATTTATTGTCGACGCCGTCAGAAAGAGCGAAATGAAACCCTTTAAAAACCGCTAAATTGATTCAAAACCTATTTGATTTCGCTCTTTAGGAAAACCGGTTTTTAAGGTTAAGGTAGAGCCAAACCTAAATGAGGAGCTCAATGGCGCAGGTGGCTAGCGCGTTCGGCTGCGATCGTTGAATTTAAGCAACTTTCGCAGTGGTCGGTCATTGGATGGGTGACCAAAAATTACTATCTCGAGCTACTCCGTGCTTCGGAAGGCACGTTAAGCCGTTGGTCGCGGCTGCATCTGCAGTCGTTAGCACCCACCAATCCGCACTGGGCCCGCGTGGTGGGTCATGGCCCAATCTCCCTATTCCATCCATAGGGAAGACCTGTTCCCCAGCAGTGGGGACATTAATAGACTGATGATGACTACATAGTTAACGTTGTTGTAAAGTTGTTTCTTCTCTTTATCCAGCAAGGACATCGAACAGGCTTGGCCTCTTACCAGCAATGGTGTCTGCGGTGCTAGCACGGACCCAATTCTCCCGACTAATGAACAAGCCGCGAGCGCAGAACTTCGAGTGCTGGTCGGGAACAACTCCGCAGTATACACGTATAGAGAGTTGAAGGCGAATGTTATGGACAACTTGCCCAAGAAGAACAGGCCCAAGCCGGCACCCGTGTTAGCTGCAACCAATACAATATGGATATTATATTTGTTTTTTAGGTTTTCACGCACATCATCATCAGCCTATTAATGTCCCCACTGCTGGGGCACAGGCTTCCCTATGGATGGAATAGGGAGATTGGGCTATGACCCACCACGCGGGCCCAGTGCGGATTGGTGGGTGCTAATGACTGCAGATGCAGCCGGGACCAACGGCTTAACGTGCCTTCCGAAGCACGGAGGAGCTCGAGATTAATTTTTGGTCACCCATCCAATGACCGACCACTGCGAAAGTTGTTTAAGTTCAACGATCGCAGTTCAACTCCGTTAACAACTCATTAAATAAAACAAGTTTCAATGGGTTAGATGCACTGATTTTATTGAAATGAAATGAAATGAAAAGTCATTTATTCAGTCTAGGATGTTACAAGCACTTGTGTAGGTCAAGAAGCTACGCCATTGGTTCGCAAGACTACGGCGCGGCGGGAGACCTTGTACTGAGAAGAACCGGCAAGAAACTCAGCAAGGTCTGCTTTTTTCTCCCTGTATTGATATATAAAGAGTCGTCAAGTTGAAAAATGACTTCAGAGATATTTCTGAAGTCACCTTTTATTTATGAAGTATTTTGCAGGAATGCGTGGTCAGAATAATATTTTTTTATTTACTTTGTCGAGCTACCTTCGAAACCTATCGAGGATGCGAAACGTCAATAAATAAATAAAATCAATGCATCTTGTGGCGGCGACATCTATATGCCACACATATAATATATACAACGGATGGAGGAAATTATTACTCACCATCCTCAAGAGATGGCGTTACCTGCACTGCGATCATAATAGTATGGAAGCCTACATCGCGCAAATGAAATTCGGAAGCTAATTCTTCATATATAGGATGCCCGACCAACAACAGTCGGGCCGCGGCCCCCGAGCTACCATCACCCAGCTCGGAGGAAGATCTTCCCCTTTGGCCATCCTACACATCTAACCCGTTGAAACTTGTTTTATTTTATATGGATATTGATCAATATGATCATATATTGAGGAGCTCGATGGCGTAGGTGCAAAGCGCATTCGGGCTGCGATCGTGGGAGTTAAGCAACTTTCGCAATAGTCGGTCATTGGATGGGTTACCAAAAATTATTATCTCGCGCTTCTCCGTGCTTCGGAAGGCACGTTTACCTATTAGTCCCAGCTGCATCTGCAGTTGTAACCTACTAATCCCAACTGGGCCCGTGTGGTGAGTTATGGCCAAATCTCCCTGTTCCATCCGTAGGGAAGCCCTGTGCCCAAGCAGTGGGGACATTAATAGGCTTGTGACGATGATGGTGCAGTTAAGTACGTCTGTAGCGCAAGCTGAACTGATATCATTTTTCTTAACTTTATAGTAATGTTCATGGTATAAGGTCCAACTCTGTTAGCTGGAGCTTGGTTTATTTGTCAATCAAAAGCAAAATTACAGTTAGCAAGAGATTTCTTAAAATAAACCAGTGTCAATTTATTAAAATAAAACACCTAATAGTTATGATTTGATTTACCATTGATTGACCAGGCAGCGGACGGGACTCGAACCCGCATCCTTCGCTATTCGGGCGAATGCAATGACCATTATGCTACCACGGGCCTATTAGCCGCGTCGAAATTTTCCTAGCCTTAAGCTGCAAGGCAGCGCCATCACTTCGCATTGTAGGTAACCCACAATGTCAAATGAATACTTTTTCAAGTATTAAACATTTGAAAGAAGAAATAGCAATTATAGTTATGATTTTATTTATTTTTTAAGCATTTAACTGCTAGATGTTTAAATCTAAAGAAACGTTTATTAGAAAAAAAAGCCACGCGGACCAGGCAGCGGACGGGACTCGAACCCGCATCCTTCGCTATCCGGGCGAATGCACTGACCATTATGCTACCACGGCCCTATTAGTGTTAATCAAAGCTAGAGCATATACAGTATAGTATAGTAGTATATATCAAAGTGAAGCTTTGGTTAGCACTATTTCTTTTAACTAAATTATACTCACAGACAAAGAAAGGCGTGACGCATGCGGCTCCACAAACCAGGAACGCCACGAATATGCTCCACTTGCGACCGAAGCGTTCCAACGCCATCATGATAAGAAGCGAAGCCACCACCTCCATAGCCATGTTTAGGGCGAAGTTCACGTATTTATCTCCTGACAGTGCCACTGAATTGATGGTCAGACCATAGTAGACAAAAGCTACAGCTATCCAGCACCAGCAGCATGTCAAGAAACGAAATATCAGGACTTTAGATCGGAGTAACTGCAGCCAAGCATTACTCTTCACTGTTTCTTCTTTTTTGCTCTCTTGGTCTAGAGCTTTCATCAACTCTTCGTTGATTGGCTTCTGTAAGTTAATCAAGAGGTAGGTTATAATTGAGGTGGTATTGAGTATTCTTCATCATCATCAGCCTATTATTGTCCCCACTGCTGGGGCACAGGCCTTCCCTATAGATGGAATAGGGAGATTGGGCCATGACCCACCACGCGGGCCTAGTGCGGATTGGTGGATGCTAACGACTGCAGATGCAACCGGGACCAACGGCTTAACGTGTCTTCCGAAGCACGGAAGAGCTCGAGATAGTAAATTTTTGGTCACCCATCCAATGACCTACCACTGGGAAAGTTGCTTAACTTCAGCGATCGCAGCCGAATGCGCTAAACAAGTTGCGCCATCGAGCTCCTCTATAAGTATTCTTTATAAGAGGTCATTATTATTTACGAATAGCAGCGGGGGCAATCAGCTGTCAGCAACCAGTAGAGTGGCAGGAGCAGAGCCGCCGAGTGGACGGTCCATAACAGCCGGTGCTATTAGTCCATAAAAGAGCGAGTTAAAAGTACCATAGACCTTGTTTATCATAGCCTGATGATGGCAGCGGCGCGATCCCTCTTCCCTTGCGCGTGGAGCCATCGCGGGCTCTCTTCTATCAGCAGCCAGTAGAGTGGCAGGTGCAGTACCGCCGAGTGGACGGTCCATAACAGCCGGTGCTAGTAGTCCATAAAACAGCAAGTTGAAAGTTCCAAAGACCTTGTTTATCATTGCCGCTTTCCTGATGATGGCAGCGGCGCGATCCCTCTTCCCTTGCGCGTGGAGCCATCGCGGGCTCTCGTCTACCAGCAGCCTGTAGAGTGGCAGGAGCAGTGCCGCCGAGTGGACGGTCCATAACAGCCGGTGCTATTAGTCCATAAAAGAGCAAGTTGAAAGTGCCAATGACCTTGTTTATCATAGCCGCTTTCCTGATGATGGCAGCGGCGTGATCCCTCTTCCCTTGCGCTTGGAGCCATCGCGGTCTCTCCTCTTTCAGCAGCCAGTAGAGTGGCAGGAGCAGTGCGGCCGACTGGACGGTCCATAACAGCCGGTGCTATTAGTCTATAAAACAGCAAGTTGAAAGTTCCAAAGACCTTGTTTATCATAGCCGCTTTCCTGATGATGGCAGCGGCGCGCTCACACTTCCTTTGTGCAAGGAGCCATCGCGGGCTCTCGTCTATCAGCAGCCAGTAGAGTGGCAGTAGCAGCGCCGCCGAGTGGACGGTCCATAACAGCCGGTGCTATTAGTCCATAAAAGAGCAAGTTGAAAGTGCCAATGACCTTGTTTATCATAGCCGCTTCCTGATGATGGCAGCGGCGCGATTCCACTTCCTTTCCGCATGGAGTCAGCGCAGGCTCTCATCTATCAGCAGCCAGTAGAGTGGCAGGAGCAGTGCCTCCGAGTAGACGGTCCATAACAGCCGGTGCTATTAGTCCATAAAAGAGCGAGTTGAAAGTGCCAATGACCTTGTTTATCAAAGCCGCTTTCCTGAAGATAGCAGCGGCGCGATCCCTCTTTCCTTGAGCATGGAGCCATCGCGGGCTCTCGTCTATCAGCAGCCAGTAGAGCGGCAAGAGCAGCGCCGCCGAGTAGACGGTCCATAACAGCCGGTGCTATTAGTCCATTAAAGAGCAAGTTAAAAGTGCCATAGACCTTGTTTATCATTGCCGCTTTCCTGATGATGGCAGCGGCGCGATCCCTCTTCCCTTGCGCTTGGAGCCATCGCGGGCTCTCGTCTACCAGCAGCCAGTAGAGTGGCAGGAGCAGCGCCGCCGAGTGGATGGTCCACAGTAGCCGCCGCCAGTTGCCCACGCCCCAGGCGATCAAGGCGAATAGGACGCCGCCCATGCCGTACGCCACGCCTGTCGCACAAGCGAAGGCGGCTCGCAGTGATGGTCTGGCTAGTTCTACAACTGGAATTTAAAAAAAGAAGTTTAAAACCAACACTGCTCAACAGCTGCTCAATTTTGATATAGGTCTCGGTTTTTTGTAAGCAAAGTTTAAAGTGTCCTAATCTCTAAATTTTTATTTATAGGTCTTTTACCTTTTTTATTGAACTACTGACTATGTAGAAGCCGTATTTCAGCATGACCTCAAAGAACTTTGTACATCTAATTAGTAGATAATTCTATTCTGACATTTTTAAAGGACGCTGGTCTCATATTAAAGACGAGACTGAACAAATGAAGTGACTTACTCAGGACGTAGCCTGCGCTATTGAACCCGTACCCCAGCATAGCCTCGAAGAACTCGGTGGTGACATACATCTCGTAGTTGACGGAGAATCCTTTTAGGATGCCCAGCACCCCTGCGAACGCCGAGAATATGCAGAACGCTGTCCGCCGCCCGAACCTAAATCATTTTATGTAGTTAGAATATGTGTCAGCTTCATCATCAGCCTGTTAATGTCCTCACTACTGGGGCACAGGCCTTTCCTATGGATGGAATAATGAGTTTGCGTCATGACCTACCACGCGGGCCCAGTGTGGATTGGTGGATGCTAACAACTACAAATGCAGCCGGGAGATACGGCTTAACGTGTCTTCCGAAGCAAGGAGGAGCTCGAGGGAATAGATTTTTGTTCACCCATCCAATTATCGACCACTACGAAAATTGCTTAAATTCAACGATCACAGCCGAACCACGTGCGTCATCGAGCTCTTCAATATATGGATTTATTCATTGGATGCAAATTTATCTAAAATTGAGATGTTGACTATTATGGAAAGCAATTTTTTATCGCAAAAACATCCCGAGATTCCGGGAAATTCAGATTTAAGTGTTTAGTGTGTGATCAGTACAAAAAAAGGAAAATAGCATTTGCAAATATTCTACATTAACTTACAATAGGAAGAATGAATCTACTGTTTACATCTATTCGAAATTGTCAAAATCTTTTCTAAGGGGGTTAACGAGGCGCTCAAAAATTACGATTTTTTGCAAAAATGTGAAAGGGCTCTTAGCGCACAAAGTGATCTGTGAACTTAGATTAAAACAAAAAGGGTAGATCTATACGGCACACTCATACTAGCATCAAATATAATATGATCCGACTCAACTACATAAGCACTCCACGCATACATCTGTATATAAACATCAATCGAGCGAGCGAGACAGAACTATATGCTTCAACGCAGCGTATTGTTGTCCTTTTCTTGCTTACAAAATGGCGATTACATAAATAATATTCACGACAAACCGTGATTTTTGAGAAAAGAATGTTTTAACAGTTTTAAGAATGAAGAGTGTTGCCGAGGCATTTGATTTTGAACTATTTGTGTTTATTATAAAAGCATCGAAGGCATTGTTTTATCTTTATAACACAGAATATACGTAATATTGCTATATTGAGTGTACATGCAGCGTGTTTGAATGTCAAATTGTGACTTGTGGTCGTGGACCACATTATAAGTGGATCACTTTTGAGCCGCGAATGCCGTATCTACCCTTTTTGTTTTAATCTAAGTCTGTGAAGCCATTCGCCATAAGTAAGAACACACGAGTATATTACCTCCAAACATCAGGCAAACACCCAAGAAAGGGCCATGGCTCGGGGCAGCAGAATTCATACAAAGGCATTCGTTACTGACCTATATTTTGATTTGATTTACTTGTTCTAGGGAGAGGGTTTTCAAACGGCCTCTCATCACTATGAGGTTAAGATCCACTGACTTAGGCTCGTATTATAGAAAGATTCTCAGTAATGAATCTAGTCTTGAGCATAGTTAGAAAGGGATGTCGCTCTATATACCACATAGCGGCATCCCTTTCTAACTATACTCAAGTAAAGATCAACACTTAGTTGTCATTCTGTAATACGGGCCTAATGCCCGTTTTCACCAAGATTCTCTTAGGTTTAGGGCCCTCTTACTCGGTATTAAGGGAACTCTTATTGTTAACGCCATCTATCGTAAGCTTGCGAAAACACATTTACCTTATCCCTTCCTCTAAACTCAACTTCATCCGTGGCGCTGCCATCGCTGCAATTCGAACGAACGGACGAGAGAAAAAGGCAACGGCCATTGTGTGCTCTGATCGCCGAGAGGAGATACCATGAAACTCCCACGACTGAGAAAAAACCGCGCTCCGGAGACGCTTTTCGCCTACACATATTTCCGCCCCGGGGCCCGCGAACATCCCGCGAACATTAGTGTAAAAAAGAAATAGTGGCGCGCCACAGGCGAGCACAAAGGAACCAGCCCAACAAACCAACAGGTACCCCCTTTCCCACAGTTTCCCTCTAGTTTTTGTGTTTTCTTCTTGTGTATAATCGCACATCCGCTCCGGGAATTTGTTTTGTTTTCTGGCGTGACCACTTATAAACAAATTCGTTTTCACCAACCATTAAGTATCACCTTAAAGCTTAAGGAACTCTTAATATTTATGGCCCCGATTTTGCGCTCCTTATCGGCTACCTAACCTTATTTAGCATTCGTGTGATAATTCACTATTAAAAGTACGCGCATTTTTCTTCAATGAACAGTTATTTAGATCAGTTTTTTGAAAGTCCAGATGCGTTCGAGACTGTGGAAATGATTTCAAGTCAAAGATTGCCAAAAAGACCACGAATTTACCGTGAAAGATCAAAGGACTTTGAAAAATATGACGACATCGATTTCTTCGCTCGATATAGGTCCTCTATCAGTTTATTCGCTTTTAACTCCGCGTCTTGTCAAAAACATAATATTTATATAGGCGCTAACATCATCATCATCATCAACAGCCCATCATAGTCCACTGCTGGACATAGGCCTCTCCAAATGCACGCCACTCAGATCGATCTTGGGCTATTCGCATCCAGCTCCTGCCAGCCACCTTGCGCAAATCGTCACTCCATCGTGCCTGAGGACGTCCTACACTACGTTTGCCTAGACGCGGTCTCCACTCCAGAACTCGTCTACCCCAACGGTTATCGGTTCTTCGGCAAATATGGCCAGCCCACTGCCACTTCAACTTGCTAATCCGGTGGGCTATGTCGATAACTCTGGTTCTCTGTCGGATTACCTCATTTCTGATGCGATCCTTCAGAGAAACGCCGAGCATAGCCCTTTCCATAGCGCGCTGAGCGACTTTGAACCTGTGGACCAGCCGTACCATCAGTGTCCACGTCTCGGCTCCGTATGTCATCACAGGTAGGACGCACTGGTTGAAGACTTTCGTCTTTAGGCACTGTGGGATCGACGATGTCAGGACTTGACGTAGCTTCCCAAACGCTGCCCAACCTAGCTGAACTCTTCTATTCACCTCGTCCTCAAAGTTGTTTCTACCCAACTGCAATGTCTGCCCGAGGTATACATATTTTTGAACAACTTCGAGAACGGCACCGTGTATTGCAATCGGTTCCGGTAGAACATGTTCATTGAACATGACCTTGGTTTTATCCAAGTTCATCCGTAGGCCGATGCGTATAGAAGAGTCAGCCAGGTCATTCAACATCTGTTGTAGGTCCTGCAGGGTTTCTGCCATGATGACGATGTCGTCTGCAAATCGCAAGTGAGAGATGCGTTCCCCATTTATGTTGATGCCATGTCCTTTCCAGTTCAGCGTCTTGAACATATCCTCCATTGCATTAGTGAACAATTTCGGGGAAATAACGTCCCCTTGTCTCACTCCACGATGCAACGGTATGGGACTTGTTTGCTGATTCTGTACTTGGACAGACATGGTGGCGGCTTCGTAGAGACATCTTATCACTTGGATGTATCGCCAGTCGACTTGGCAACGCTGCAGGGACTCCAAGACAGACCAGATTTCAATCGAGTCAAAGGCCTTCTCATAGTCCACAAATGCTAGGCACAGGGGCTGATTGTACTGCTCAGTCTTCTGTATAATCTGCCGCACTGTGTGGATGTGGTCTATGGTGCCGTATCCGCTCCGAAACCCAGCCTGTTCCGGTGGTTGGAAGTCATCAAGTCTTCGCGCAAGACGGTTACTGATCACTCTTGAGAACAGCTTATAGACGTGGCTTAGAAGGGATATGGGTCGATAGTTCTTAAGTAGGGTCTTGTCCCCCTTTTTAAAGAACAAGACGACCACACTCCTACTCCACGCCTCCGGAGTTCTCCCTTCGAACAGGACAGTGTTAAAAAGCTTTTGGAGCTCCCTCAGTACGGGTTTACTTCCAGCCTTCAAGAGTTCTGTTGTAACACCATCCTCTCCAGGGGCTTTTCCATTTTTAAGCTGTCCAAGAGCAATCTCGATTTCGCCAATACTGACTTCTGGCAGGTCTTCGGTGTAGTGGCGTGTTAATGTGGCTCTAGAATCCTCATTTCCGAGATCGGGTCGAGATGCATGTGATGCGTATAACTGGCTGTAGAAGTCTTCCACTTCCGAAAGGACTGCCGGCTTTGAAGCAACAACTTCCCCACTTGCTGTGGTCAACTTCGTCAGATGGCTTCTTCCAAGAGATTGTACGAACACTTTGGACCCTTGATTCTGCTCGATCGCTCTCTGGATCGAGAGAGTATTGGAGCATCGGAGGTCGTGTCGTACGTGCTTACTGATCTCTTGGTTTAGAGTCCGCTTTGCCGACGAAGTGACGGGTGGATTTTCACGTCGTTTCTTCATTAGCCCTAAAGTCTCTTCCGAAAGCTTTGACTTCCTGCCCTTACGCTGCGTTGCACATAATCTCGTACCCTCTTTCCTGAGGATCCGAACCACATTTTCGAGGTTTTGGTTTACGTCTGATGTGGTTTCCACGGCAGCAAATCGATTCTCCAGATTTGACTGGAACGTTTCAGATCCTGTTATAGATTGGAGCAAAGTAGGTTGGAGCCTAGATCTCATCAAACGGACGCGCTCGGCCTTAAAGTTGATATTCAGAGAGCCCCGGACGAGTCGGTGATCACTACCGGTATTGAACCTGTTGATCACGGAGACGTCTCTGAATATGTACCTCTTGTCCGTCATGATGAAATCGATCTCATTTTTAGTCATAGTGTCGGGGCTTTGCCACGTCCACTTCCTTTGGGGCTGTTTCTTGAAAAAAGAGTTCATCAAGAAGAGCCCCTGCTGTTCGAGGAAGTTGACGAGCATTTGCCCCCTATGATTTCTGCTTCCAAATCCATGGGATCCTACTACCGATTCGCTGCAAGTCTGTACTCCCACTTTAGCGTTGAAGTCACCCATAACAACGTTGTAGTGGGTCTTAGTAGTGGAGTGGAGGGCCCTCGATATATCATCGAACATATCCTCCACTTCGTCGTCCGAGTGTGTCGAGGTCGGTGCGTATACTTGCACCACCTTGAGGCTATACCTCTCGGTGAGCTTTATAATAAGGTACACTACCCTATTCGACACGCTGGACATTTCCACAACGTTATCGTCAAGGGACTTATTTACCAAAAACCCAACGCCACCTTGGGACTGTTGGTCTCCCCCGCGGAAGTACATTAGGTGGCCCGATTCGAGGGTTATGGTGTCCTCCCCCTCTCTTCGGACTTCGCTTAACCCCAAAATGTGCCACCTAATCTTTCCACGTTCCACCTCAAGTTGCGCCAGATGCGAGTCAAGCCGTAGCGTGCGTCCGTTGTACGTCGCCAGGGTCAGTCTGTTGTGGTGGCCTCCCGTAGCCCGGAGATTCTTGGCACCCCCCGCCCCACCGTTACCGTGGTCGCCACCGTGACCAGGAATAGCGGGGCTGCCGGGAACTGGGGGCCGTGGCTTGTGTTTTTTGTGCATAGAAGGTTTTGCCCATAATCGCCACGCTGGGCAGGCGGGTTGGCGATCGCAGAGCGTAGGTTTATTTACTGATGACGCTGCTGCCCGTCACCAGTGAGATTTTCCTCCCCTACGTCGTTAGATGGTTATACCGCCATCGGTCGGTTTGCCAGAGCCTCGTCTGTTGGTCAACAGGGTGCACCACGTGAAGGTGAGGTTGGCTTGGGTTCTTGCAGGTGTATTTAGAACCCTTTACACCCCTAGGCGCTAACATAGGTATTTATTTAGAGCAGTGGTTCTTAACCAGTTCCAGGGGGCGACTAGATCATTGGACCATCCCGCTATCCTTAACGAGAGCCAACCTTCGGGCTATTTTCTAGTTTGTGATATTTTTCTTTTAATATATAGCTCCTGTGTCTACTTTTGCACCCTTCTATATTTCTCTATTATTATTCCATTTCTACCATAGGTTGCCTGGAAGAGATTGCTGTTTAGCAATAAGGCATAATGTACTCTTTCTTCTGTTTTATTTGTTTTATATCTTGTGTCCTTTGTTGTGTGCAATAAAGAATATTATTGTTATTATTGTTATTATTATTATTATTCTTCATGAATAAGTTCATATTTTGAGCACAAAATACGAACTTGTATGATTAAACATTTTTTTTAAACCACGGTACTTACTGTTTATTGAATGTTTATTATTATTATGTAATGAAAGGTGACTTCATGAATCATATCTGAAGTCCTTTCTCAATTTGACGACTCTGTAAATATATTTGTTTCTTAGGTTTTCACGCACATCACTCATTAAATAAAACTAGTTTTTACGGGTTAATGCACGAAACTTTATTTATTTATTGACGTTTCGCAGCCTTTTCAAGTCTGCATCGTCAGAATAATGATTTTTTTATTTAAAATTGTCGAGCTACCTTCGAAAGACTTATATTAAGCGTTCGGTTATTTCATTGGAAGATTTTTAAAATTTTATTGTCTATGTATGAATTTATTATTTAATTTACTTAATAAAGTATTTTATTTAAAATTCTTGTTTGTAATTTTGAGTTTATTTATTTGACCCTAACTACCGTAAACTACCACCGGTTCCAAAATTGGGAGACCTTCCTGAGAAGAACCGGCGAAACAAACTCAAGAGAGGCTTTCTATCTCCTTCTTATGTTAAATTATGCAAACAAAAAGAACTAATAGTATCTGATGGTCTTGCAGTGTGTGCTCGGGGTTGGGATTTTATCTCCTGTATAATAGGTTCCCAAGCTGGTGGTATATACCAACCATCTTCCCTATTGAAATTTGGATATTTTTTAATCTCAATAGCCTCGCGCATCATTCGAGGAACGAACCGCCGCTCAGCTGCAAGGATCTGTGGTCTATCAAATCTAATGTAGTGGTTTGGTCCCTCTAATGCATGTTCACACACTGCAGATTTATTTTCGCGCCTATGTTTCATATCTGCGATATGTTCTTTTACCCGAGTCCCTATACTCCTCTTTGTTTGCCCGATGTAGGAGAGCCCACAGTCGCATTCAAGTTTGTAGACACCAGCAACTTGAAAGGGTATATTGCACTTGACCGGTCGTAGAAACTCGTTGATCTTCTTTGGCGGCTTGAAGTATGTATTGATTGAAGCACGCTTCAGAATCCTCCCAATCTTGTAAGTGACTCCTTTCATGTAAGGTTGCTGGTGTCTACAAACTTGAATGCGACTGTGGGCTCTCCTACATCGGGCAAACAAAGAGGAGTATAGGGACTCGGGTAAAAGAACATATCGCAGATATGAAACATAGGCGCGAAAATAAATCTGCAGTGTGTGAACATGCATTAGGGGGACCAAACCACTACATTAGATTTATAGTGAGCGGAGGTGTTAACGTTCATACGTATGAGAAACGGTGGCGTGATTACTCACAATAATAATTGTCCAGCTTAACTCACGTAGTGTTTATAATCCAACACACAATTACACACACATATTAAAGTACAGAAGGAAGTACACAAGAAGAATAGATAGTTCGGAAAGTAAGCAAAGCACAAAACAGCACAGATAACTACGGCTATAATATTATTAAGCAAAAGCACTTTACGAGCTAGCGAAAGCTTAGGAATTAGTATCGAGTGACATAGGCTTCGCGCGGTGTATCAATCTCGACTGGTATGCGTGGCTGCGTTGTGCGCTCGCGCTGCTTGTATAGGGAAACCGGTCCGGCGACTATTGAGTTGCACGTTTCCATTTCACGACGGCGAGTGGGCAATACCGTATCATCCGGCAAATGTTCGGATGATGTAAATAATATAATATGTAGATAAATATAATTTTGTATAAAGATAATTTTAGTGAATATTAAATTGTGTAAGTATAATTATTATAAAATATATTTGTGTGTTGTTAAATAAATATAAGTTTAGATGTAAGCGTAATGTAAATATAATTAAGTATGTGAATTAATTATGTATAAATAAAGAAATTAAGTGTAAGTCACCTACAGATTTGATAGACCACAGATCCTTGCAGCTGAGCGGCGGTTCGCGCGAGGCTATTGAGATTAAAAAATATCCTAATTTCAATAGGGAAGATGGTTGGTATATACCACCAGCTTGGGAACCTATTATACAGGAGATAAAATCCCAACCCCGAGCACACACTGCAAGACCATCAGATACTATTAGTTCTTTTTGTTTGCATAATTTAACATAAGAAGGAGATAGAAAGCCTCTCTTGAGTTTGTTTCGCCGGTTCTTCTCAGGAAGGTCTCCCAATTTTGGAACCGGTGGTAGTTTACGGTAGTTAGGGTCAAATAAATATACTCAAAATTACAAACAAGAATTTTAAATAAAATACTTTATTAAGTAAATTAAATAATAAATTCATACATAGACAATAAAATTTTAAAAATCTTCCAATGAAATAACCGAACGCTTAATATAAGTCTTTCGAAGGTAGCTCGACAATTTTAAATAAAAAAATCATTATTCTGATGATGCAGACCTGAAAAGGCTGCGAAACGTCAATAAATAAATAAAGTTTCGTGCATTAACCCGTAAAGACTCTGTAAATAATAAAATAGGGAGTAAAAAACAGCCCTTGCTGAGTCTCTTGCCGGTTCTTCTCAGTACAAGGTCTCCCGCCGTAGATTTACGAACCGATGGCGTAGCTTCTAGACTTTCATGAGTGCTTGTAACAGCCTAAACTGAATAAATGATTCTGATTATGACTATTATCTACTGACTTGTCAGAAACGTAGCCAGTGAGTATCAGGGCGAAAGGCAGCGCGGAGTTGCGGACGGTGCCCACTAGCGTGCGTAGGTACTCACGACAACCCAGGTCGAACTGTGAATCATATCAAACAATACACTTATTCTAAAGAAAAGTTTACTAGAAAAAATTCCACGCGGACCAGGCAGCGGACGGGCAGTGGCGGCGCTAGACCACATGTGGACGTCGGCGACATCAAGTTCGCGAGGCCTATTTCACTTCGCAGTAAAAACCCTTTAAATTACACTTAATTATAAAATAACGTATGAGTAAACGAGTTTTATTGTTGATTAATAGTGTTGCCAGACAGACGATTCTGAATACCCGTAAAGTACTACTCGCTTCCATCACGCACGTGTTCGAAATTAATAAAAGTCATTATCATCTGCTTAGCTTTTTCCCCGAATTGTTCGGGGTCGGCTACCTAAGCCAGGCCCGGAGAAACGAAAATAAATAGCTAACTTGTAAAAATTTTTTGTGAGGCCCCCTCAGGCGCGAGGCCGTCGGCTGTGGCCGACGTCGCCGACGCCTAGCGCCGCCACTGCGGACGGGACTCGAACCCGCACCCTTCGCAATCCGGGCGAATGCACTGACCATTATGCTACCACGGCCCTATTAGCCGCGTCGAAATTTTCCTAACCTTAAGCTGCAAGGCAGCGCCATCTCTTCGCATTGTAGCTAACCCACAATGTCAAATGAATACTTTTTCAAGTATTAAACATTTGAAAGAAGAAATAGCAATTATAGTTATGTTTTTATTTATTTTTAAGAATTTAACTGCTAGATGTTTAAATCTAAAGAAAAGTTTAGTAGAAAAAAAAATCTAGTGAACTTTTTTAAAACTTTAGATTTAAACACCTAGCAGTTAAATGCTTAAAAATAAATAAAAACATAAATACACTTATTATCAAAGTTATATGTATATTTATTCACCAATGAACTACCAGAGGCTATTCAAAATAAAATAAAATCTTCTTAATCTAGGGGCCGTTCAAGTATTACGTAAGCAGATTTATTACAATTATTTACCCCTCCCAAATAAATAATGGACATTATCTCTTATCTATTAGACAAGTCCGTCCGTCCGTCTGTCTGTGGTGCTGTTTCAGCAGCCAAACCGTAAGAGATAGATAAAGAGAATATTTAAGTTATAAGTTAAGAATAGTCTGATAAGACTACAAACCGGATTTCAGTAACGTAGCACTTCCAGTTTTTAAATCACGAATTTCAAACGAAACCACACAAAATCTCCGAAGTTCTCAATTAATTTTTTTTTTTTTTTAAATCAGGTTTTGGTGAACATTTGGTTCACTGGTTTGCTAGTTAATACACTAATAGGGGTGATGACGTGGTACAGTAAACGAAATTCTATTTAGTCCGTCAGTTAGATGATCAAAAAATAATGGACACGTATTTTTTCTTTGGGCAATCAAACAAAAAATTACAAAGTTATAGCGCGTCAAAGTTTGGGAGTAGTGGGAGGAGCTCGTGACGTCACTTTTGAGTGAATTTTCCCTTATAAGTGTACTCAAACATGACGTCATGCGACTTTTCAAATGAATATATCTCTGCTATGTTTATATTATGTGAAAAAAGAAAAATACGTGTCCAATACTTTTTGATAATCTACCTGATAAACGAAGAAAAAAAAAATAGTCATCACCCCTATTATCACAGTTATAATATTTCATCATCATCAGCCTATTAATGTCTCCAATGCTGGGGCACTAGCCTTCCCTATGGATGGAATAGGGAGATTGGGCTATGACCCACCTCGCAGGCCCAGTGCGGATTGGCGGGTGCTAACGACTGCAGATGCAGCCGAGAACATCGGCTTAGCGTGCCTTCCGAAGCACGGAGGAACTCGAGATAGAAGATTTTTGGTCACCCATCCAATGATCCACCACTGCGAAAGATTCTTATCTTCAGCGATCGCAGCTGAACGCGCTAACCATCCGCGCTATCGAGTTCCTCGTATACTATAATATTTAAGAGTAACTATTATATTTTTATATTCAAGCATTTAACTGTTTAAATAGATAGAAAATATTACTAGAAAAAGTTTCATCCGGTCCAGGTATCAGATGGGATTCGAACCCGCTACTTCCACTATCCGGGCGGACGCACTAACTAATTATGCCATCAAGACCTTAATGGCTGTGTCGAATTTCTTCTGGTGTTTCTTATGATAGTAAGAATCTCTTCACATTATACTTAACCCACAATGTCAAACGAAATATAGTATTAAACATTTGAAAGACCGCTCGTGTAGCTGAAGATGAGGGATTGAATGTTTTAGTAATAATTTCTTTAGATTCCACAAAGTTGATAATTTATATACAGGTTGTTACAAAAGTACAAATAAAGCCTGATGGGCGTTGAAGTACATCATTGCCCTTCTCCTCGCTAGATCCTCGAACTAGTGACGTGTGTTAAATATATATTTTTAAATTTTTTATTAATCATTAAAAATAACTGCTTTTATAAAAAGTTAAAACTTCATGCAAATATTTTAAGAAAATTAGAGAAGACTCCTTATATGATGTACTTCAACGCCTTTCAAGCTTTAATTGTATTTTTGTAACACCCTGTATACTAAAAAAAAAACAATCTAGTTAATTTCCTTTAGATAAAACAAACCTAGCAGTTCAATGCTAAAACAAAATGAATTTAATAACCTCTATTACCTCCGCAAAGATGGTGTCATAGTTTTGGTAGGCGAATTGATGGCATTGTATTCTGTCTTGGCCGAAGTGCTCGCGTAGGCAAGTTTGATTGGTCGGGTGCAGAGGCTCAAAGCGTTCGCAGCGGGTGCCATTGGGGACCAGTGTAGAAGTGATGTCACTAGAATACTTCGGCCATAAGCCTTCACACTCCGGGACGACGCAACTGTAACAAGATATCTTTATTAAGCTGATATTTTTGAAGTAAATCTCTTATCTATTAGACAAGTCCGTCCGTCCGTCTGTCTGTGGTGCTGTTTCAGCGGCCAAACCGTAAGAGATAGATAAAGAGAATGTTTAAGTTATAAGTTAAGAATAGTCTGATAAGACTACAAACCGGATTTGAGTAACGTAGCACTTCCGGTTTTCGAGAAATCACGAATTTCAAACGAAACCACACAAAATCTCCGAAGTTCTCAATTAATTAAATACATTTTTTTTTAAATCAGGTTTTGGTGAACATTTGGTTCACTGGTTTGCTAGTAGTAGATTATTAACCAAGGGGATAAAGCAGTGTCTTCTGTCGCGGGTGACGATTTAAATCACGAGCGTAACGAAGGACTCGAGGTTTACTCCCGAGCGTAGCGAGGGCGTTAAAAACTTTAATCACGTGCGAAGCGAGGGATTTAAGACGAGTCCTGAGTGTAGCGAGGGATTTAAGTTCACCCAAGACTAAGACAGATTTATCACCGAGGAAAATACTCTACTTTTGCGTACCATTTGTGAAAAAATTAACGCAATAATAATATGAGATAAGCATTTATTAAAGATAATGACAATTAAAAGTTAACATTCGAAACATTGGTCCAATTAAATCCGGCCTCGTCGGTTTTCGTAATTTAATTTAATTTAATTGCTAAACATTTAATTCTTATTGAAGTTATACTTCTTTAGGCGCGTTATGAAAAAATTATGAGAGTGAAATTTTAAGATGCGCGCGCATCACTGTAACACAAAATTTTAACAGCATGAAGTTGGTCTTGACAGCTTTAGCGACCAACTTCATGCGTTACTTTTGTGTTTACCGCACATTAAGAAAATCTACCAACAAAACAGAAGTAGAATCTCTATTTAGTGGGTGCTAACGACTGCATTGTGAAGGCCTATCAAAAGTATTTATTAATCTGGAACAACGGAACCAAAGCGCGATTCAGGAGACTACAGCGCCATCTCTTGACCATTGGTGTAGTAGAACCAAAAACCACATCTTTATTTTTTGTAATAAAGTAACAGTTATAGGTATTCATATTTATAATATTTATCCACATGTTTCTAGTTTGTATATTCGGAATACGTGTTTGAGTTTCATACAAGTGCAAATCACATATGTTCTAATAAATTATATTCAGTAGCGATTTTAATTGAATATTTTGATTATTTATTTATTTTTTCAAATTAAAACTGAACTTTATTGACTGTGTCCTTTTCCAGACTTTTTATTAATTTATTGTAATTAATTATTTGCATGCAATTAAAAATGAATTTTAAACGATGCCAAAGAAGGATAACTTCTCACGCGCCTACATAAGTACACGCACCCATTTTTTTTTTGTAAAATGTTGTCTTTACATCTTCATTAAAATTGTTAGGTAACTGAGTGACATGGGAATAGCAAAACATATTTAAAATAGATAAGCAGCGCGGGTGTACACAGCTGGTTCTATCTCTAAGAAAAGTTATGCAATAAATAAAACAAGCTTTATCATTTAGTGAATGTAATTTTTTATCAGATTCCAACGTGTCACGCCGCGTCGAAGATTGTATGCGATTACGATATTCAGAGGAAATAGTGGTATCTAAAAATTATTTTACTGAAACATTATAGCAATCTACGAAAAGCATAGAGCAATACAGCCGACGCGGCCACTACGACGAAAAGACTTCATATCATCTAACGCTTTTCAAATTTAATGTCCCATTTAAACACTGCCGGATTTAGGGGAGGGCAACCGGGGCGAAAGCCCCGGGGCCTCCACAAACGGGGGGCCCCCGCAATAGAGACTTCGGAAAAAAAATCTTTCAAATTCCAACTAGTAAACATCTTTTCCTTTGATATTTTTTTTTGCTCTTTTACATTAACTCCGCGAACTCGATTTCAACGAAATCATCAACGATTTTTCGGCGAAAAAAGCTCGAAAGGTTCCGTTCGTTAACTCTAAGATTTAATTTCAGATAATTCTTGTTTCCGTTTATATTTATATGTGTTTGTTCAATACTAAGGGAATCTACTTGGTTCACAATAAATTATTTATTGAAAAACTCGACTTAAAAAAAAATATGTTTACTTTGGGGTGAGGGGGCCTCCGCTCCTCTGTTGCCCCGAGGCCTCTGGACCTCCAAATCCGGCCCTGCATTTAAACCAGACATAATAATCGACCTTGTTATCATTGGTTATCATTAAGATAAGTACAGCTAATCAGCTTATATATTGACTATGCAATAAAATAACACATTAAAAGATTTTCGACAAGATAATTTTGATAAATCGTTTAAGTACTTTGATTAGAGACTAATTAACATTACTTATAATTATAAGCTGCAAGATAAAACAATCGTTTTATCGTGCAGCGATGATGATGATGAGTGAAAGTGATAACTACGTCATCATCATCATCATCAACAGCCCATCTTAGTCCACTGCTGGACATAGGCCTCTCCAAATGCACGCCACTCAGATAGATCTTGGGCTACTCGCATCCAGCTCCTGCCAGCCACGTTGCGCAAATCGTCACTCCATCGCGCCTGAGGACGTCCTACACTACGTTTGCCTAGACGCGGTCTCCACTCCAGAACTCGTCTACCCCAACGGTTATCGGTTCTTCGGCAAATATAACTACGTAATTATCTTAATTTCTTTAACACACGTTATCACAAAAATTAATTAAATCCTTTGCAAGTATTTAAGTTAGGTAGCTCTTTCTGTGTGATATGTGTAAAATGTTATTTAACAGGTTTTCGCAAAATTACAATTTGCTTTCTTTAGTATCATAAAACCAAGTTCCTGTGGCTGTCTTTAAAAAAACAATTTTCCATAAATATTTTCTCAGCCTATTCCCATTTATCATCATACACATTTTCATCAAAATCACAAAAAAGTGGTTGGTGGTGTAACAGACAAATAAGTTATTTTAAAATTTATGATATTTTATATTTACAATCGATAGATAGTACTCTAAACAATTTGCCTGATTTTTTTCGGATTTTTTAAAATATTTTTTTTCGTTTTTTAATTTTTTATTTGGTTATTTTTTTGTCATTTCTTCCTTATGAGTAATTATTCATTTTAAACACGTCTACATAGAAGTTATAAAGCAACTTAAAATAAGCACTACTAAAAAAACGGAAACTTAATGAATGCCTTCATTATGCCTCCAGTCGAGATCAGCGCCGGTCGGGGCGACGACCGGCGGCCGCCTGTAGGTACCTAACTACACGCACAGATGACTCGGCGCTTACCTACTCGCTTTGATCCACACTATTTAAAAACAATACAATAAAATAGTCTTAGATGCTATATTATAATTATTTATTCACTGATATACAATACCTTTGAATATTATTTCATAAAGCACAGGTAATTAATCAATAAAATAAATCTTCTTAAAATTAAGAGCAAATCGGTATAACTTACGAGCTTAGTGAAGGAAGGAACTCTTCGTGTCTGATTTGCCCACGTCATGAAATTCCGAACACATTTAATCACAGCCACAGCCACACATACACACACACACATAATAATATGTTGTTTTGCGGCAAGCACGGGCGGGCGGCGCGCCGCACGCTGGCAACTAGCGCCGGTTGCGGCGTCTTTGATGATGTGAATTCCGCCCACCTCCCCTCTTCCCCGCACGCGGACGTTTGCTTTGATTGCATGCAAAACGCAGTCGCAAGTATATCAATTGCGCGTGAGCGTGCGCATCTTTTGACTTGGTGACATACACTGTGATAATTTCATTATGCCTCGGTATACAAACCAAGAATATTTAGAGATGGTGTACTGCTATCGCGAGTGTGACGAAGTAGGTTTGGTTTACGAATGAGCCCCTAAACCATAGAAGTTGCATTTTGTGCAGTGAGTAGTGATAGGGACACTTTAAAAAAGGTGAAAAGACACGTCCGCAAACAGGCAACCTTTGTTTGCAGCAAAATGGTGGTTTAGAGCAACAATTTTGCAGATAATAATTTAAGTCTCTTTTTATTGCTAGTGTAAATACTTTTTGATTAGAAACAACTAATTGTGTACTACCAGTGTGATTGATTTGATAAAAAGTTCTAGTGAAAAAAATGAATATGTTCCTCGTTCCTCGTTGTACCTACCTAAATCGCCGGTCTCGTAAGTACTTTTGAATACCTGGTTATAAATTTCATTCTTGGGGTATTAAGCAATAAGTATTTCTTTTTGTTTAACATTTGCCTATTTCCAATCGTGACAAAATTATTATTAACTTTTAAAGTTTTTCTCTGCTTAAGAAAAGATGACATTTGTGCTTATTATTTCAATTTCAATAAAGGCATCTAAGACGATTTTATTGTACCTATTGTGTGAAATCAAACGAGTCAGCTGAGCTCTGTGTAGAGTTAGGTAGCTACTTACTCAATGGCTGGCGGGCGCGGTCGGTCGTTGACCCGCGGTGGAATTTCAATGTTTTTCCGTTTTTTAGAAGTGCTTATTTATTAGTTGTTTTTCACTGGATATGTAAGTTTGTTTGTTTAAAATGAATAACTACTCAAAACGAGGAAAGGACATAAAAATACACAAATTATAAATAAATACATGAAAAAAATATACTTCAAAAAAATCCGAAAAAAGACAGGCATACTCTATACACATAACCCAACAATCTCACGAAGTTTCATAGAAACATTCAATTTCACCCTATATATATAAAACTCAAAGGTGACTAACTGACATAGTGATCTATCAACGCACTGCCCAAACCACTGGACGGATCGGGCTGAAATTTGGCATGCAGGTAGATGTTATGACGTAGGCATCCACTAAGAAAGGATTTTGATCAATTCTACCCCCAAGGGAATAAAATAGGGAATGAAACTTTGTCAATTTTAAACCGATCGGGCTGAGACTTTGCATGCAGGTATAAGAAGAATCATAGATGAATGTCATTGTGTATAATACAAGCCTGAGAACAAAAACTGTAGTCTACACTTCAGCTCTACACCGAAGCGAAGCGAGAGCGGACCGCTAGTAATGGATAAAAATATTGCAGATTTGATTGGTCAGTATTGCATTGATGTCATTTATATGCGTATTTGGCAAAAAATGTTCTTCAATGAAATTAGAAAACAAGAAAAACGATGTAAACGATCTCACGTTCTCACAAAGCTCAAATAATTGAAAAAAAATATCAATAAATATTAATTATCAATATTTGTTATTGTTTGTGTACAAAAGTTTGGTTTTAATTCGTAAATTAGCTGAGAGCTAAAAAGGGTTCCAAGTTTTTTTTCAAACCGTACTTTTCAAGTGACTTTTGACAGATGGAGGTCATTGGCTTTCCTATTCTTATTTGAATCGCACTATTAGCGTACGCAATTGCAATAGCCATAGCAATGCCGTTAGGCGATTGGCCCCTTGGCCGCAATCCCGGCCTCGGCAGCAGGCTGTGTCTGTCTGTAAGATACTTTATCTGAATATTTTAGAACAAAGTAAACGTGAGGGCCGCGGTAGTATAATTGGTCGGTGCATTCGCCCGGATTGCGAAGGGTGCGGGTTCGAGTCCCGTCTGCCGCCTGGTCCGCGTGGATTTTTTTCTAGTAAATTTTCTTTAGATGAATCTTTTGAAAAGCTTACGCTTCTTAAGTGCATTTAGTACCAGAGCCACGCGAAGCTATGACTTCTATATTTAAAGACACCGGTATAGGCAAACCCGTCTTTCCCAGTGGGCACTTTGGGCAAGTGCCCAGGACCCCGTGATCGATAGGTGGGCACCTCAGATCACAAATACAAAGTCCCTAGTTCTTGTTAGATCACCAAACGGGAGTCATAGGGGCCCCATTATCCTAATATGCCCAGGGCCTCCAATAGGTCAAAGACGGCACTGGGTATATGAGAAGCATTAAGTGTATCACAGACAGGCGCGGCTGCGGCCGTGGCCTTTCCTGATTGGTCGCTCGTATTTGGCAACTAGCTAACGTTGCGAATACAACTGGGGACCAATCGCCTAGAAGGATTGGTATGGCTACCGCTATCGCTTACGCTTTCATTATGTTATGTCTAACCGCCGAAGGTTTTCAAATACCTCGCGTTATTACCAATGCAAAAGAAAGAAAAGAGCGCGAGGCATTTGAAATTCTCCGCGGCGGTCAGAAATAACATAATGTTTGATGCGATTCAACTAAGAATAGGATCGACTGGGCACCATATTGTGACGTAATAGCTGTCAATTCATATCAAATAGGTAGAGTGCGCAACAAAGTTTTCATTTAATAAAACTTATTTACTCAGATTAAGTGAGAAAAAACTACAGATCGTTGAGAAAATTTTATTTACTTAGATTGAGAAAAACAAACAACCAATTTTAATTAATATTTATATATTAAGACTGTGTGAGAAAAACATTAATCAGAATCTAGTTCTTCAATTCCGTTCATCTCTGCATTACCGCCGCAAATAATTTTGTTTTCTCATGTAAGTGAATTTTGTGTTCTGTTTTGAGAAATGAATGTCTTAAACCATATAATCATGCCCTCTAACCAGGTCACAAACGAACATGCATCCTATATGTAAAAGAAAGTTTTAAATTGAGTTTCTGAACGCAACTTGAAGTTTCATTTGGTTGACGATTTAGGTTATCCACCATTCATAGCCAAAGCTCAAATAATTGAAAAAAAATATCAATAAATATTAATTATCAATATTTGTTATTGTTTGTGTACAAAAGTTTGGTTTTAATTCGTAAATTAGCTGAGTGCTAAAAAGGGTTCCAAGTTTTTTTTCAAACCGTACTTTTCAAGTGACTTTTGACAGATGGAGGTCATTGGCTTTCCTATTCTCATTTGAATCGCACTATTAGCGTACACAATTGCAATAGCCATAGCAATGCCGTTAGGCGATTGGCCCCTTGGCCGCCATCCCGGCCTCGGCAGCAGGCTGTGTCTGTCTGTAAGATACTTTATCTGAATATTTTAGAACAAAGTAAACGTGAGGGCCGCGGTAGCATAATTGGTCGGTGCATTCGCCCGGATTGCGAAGGGTGCGGGTTCGAGTCTCGTCTGCTGCCTGGTCCGCGTGGAATTTTTTTCTCGGTATATTTTCTCTAGATTTAAACATCAAGCAGTTACATGCTTTAAAAAAATAATAAAAATTATAACAAAGTAAACAATTTAATTCATAGTGACGAGAGACGTGATGTGAATTTGTTGCGAATAATAACACATTTATTTTCCTCTCTCAGCCGCATACAACTATTATTGTTATAATTCATGCTACCTGTTGAGGTGTTTATGAATAGTCACAACTCATAACATAAATTGTAATAACGTAGAATATTGTTATCTTTACAACAGTAGCTGTCAAATTATGTTAAGTGAAATAAATAAGTAGCTTTAACGGTCTCACTTATATTAAACTAGCGGCCCGCCCTCGCTTCGCTTCGGTGTAGAGCTGAAGTGTAGACTACAGACTACAGTTTTTGTTCTCAGGCTTGTATTATACACAATGACATTCATCTATGATTCTTCTTATACCTGCATGCAAAGTCTCAGCCCGATCGGTTTAAAATTGACAAAGTTTCATACAAATTTTCATTCCATATTTTATTCCCTTGGGGGTAGAATTGATCAAAATCCTTTTTTAGCTGATGCCTATGTCTTAACATCTACCTGCATGCCAAATTTCAGCCCGATCCGTCCAGTGGTTTGGGCTGTGCGTTGATAGATCACTATGTCAGTCAGTCAGTCACCTTTGAGGTTCATATATATAGATAGATATATGAGTATACTTGAATTATATACATACATAATATGCAACATACATACATATACAAGATTGGAACTTCAAAGTTTTCTTTGTCTTCCACATTTACCCTTAATCAAAGAATGTGTAAACTTTTTTATATTCAATGAGTTTTAAGTAGCATTGGACAAAAAAATTAAGGATTACTTTTATCTAGTGATAAAGACTGTCAATTAACAATATGTGGCTAAACAGATGATAAAATAAACAAATATGTATTTCCAAAACTCACATCAATTAGCCAATTAGCCCCATAGTAAGCACTGTAGGCTTGTGTTATGGGATACTAGGGTAACGGATAGCATACATATACTAACATTATAGCTATTAATGGGATTGTTACCATCATCACCATCATCATCAGCCTATTAATGTCCCCACTGCTGGGGCACAGGCCTTCCCTATGGATGGAATAGATTGGGCCATGACCCACCACACGGGCCCAGTGCGGGTTGGTGGGTGCTTACGACTGCATATGCAGCCGGGACCAACGGCTTAACGTGCCTTCCGACGGAGGACCATGCACCTTGTTTTTTATGAGTCTCCGATATTTCGACACTGTTGTAAGCGCCATGATCACAGAGTAACTGAAGTAATTGCGGGTAGATGTTATTTGCAGACATATCGGTCTACCCTCTTACGTCGTCTTTTATTGCGCTCGATACCCCTACCATTGGTCACATTCTCACTATTCACTCGCACCTGTTCCCGACACACAATACTCACAGTATCAGACAAGACAGACAGACAATCCCGTTAATAGCTATAATGTTAGTGACCATGAAAGTTTAAAACAATATACATATACTAATACATTACATAAGTGTATTTATGTAGAAATACATATTAAACACCCATGACTGGAGTACAAATGGTCGTATTCATAACACAAGCATCTGCCTCCACCGGGATTCGAATCCGGGACCTCTCAAATCAAAATATATTTCGGTGACTCGGTGCCTAAAAGATGATCAGCGCTCACCGAAAGGGCACTTGGTCAGCAACGAAGATGAAGTTCAGGGAGTACATGGCAGCCAGCATATTGGGGATACAAAGCATCACTACCATGTAACGTTGGTATAGTCCAAATGGACCAAGCTGCGCAAGGGCAGCCTCTAGAGCATCACCCTGGTTCTCTGATGCAGCCTGTTCCGAAGGTCGCGTTCTTTCCGGTTGTGGAACCCGCGAGGGTAGTCCTTGTTCCGGTTTGGGGACCCGCGGGAGTGGTGTTTGTTCCGGCCCCGGAACCCGCCCGGGTAATGCATGTTCCGCGTCGGGAATTCGCGGGGGTAAATCACGCGGGGGACCAACTTGTGTCGCATTACGATCTAGTGTGAATTGGATTTGTTCTGTGTTACGTGGGGGTTGCACTTGTTCCTCGTCATGGTTTACTGGGGGTTGCACTTGTTCCGTGTCATGTTTAACTGTGGGTTGCACTTGTTCCGGGATTTGTTTGACTATGTGTTGCACTTGTTCCGGGTTTTGGTTGACTATGGGTTGCACTTGTTCCGCGTTTATATTTACTGGGGATTGCACTTCTTCCACGTTACGTTCTACTGGGGCATGCACTTGTCCCTCGTTAGGAACACCGGAGTGCGTTCCGCCGCGATCCTCTGTCCCCGCTGCCATATCGCGCGTGACTGGTACCTGTGAACGCTTACACGAACAGACACGTACCGTGACGAACAAATATCAAGATAAGATTTCTGATTTAACACTTTCAGAGATTGGTAGCGCGCGTTTTGGCTGTTCCAGTTTTTTTTATTTATAATATTTTAACGATGCATCTGCACTTGCTTTGTTTGCCTGAACCAAATTCTTGTACCCCGGCGGGTCTTTAGCAAGGTGGAAACGTTTAAAACCGTTTGCATTCAGTTAAATGACTTACGTCGATTTTTCATTAGCCTTCAGGCCTTCCCTATGGATGGAATAGGGAGATTGTTTCATGATCCACCACGCGGGCCCAGTGCGGATTTGCGGGTGCTAACGACTGCAGATGCAGCCAGGACTAACGGCTTAACATGCCTAACGAAGCACGGAGGAACTCTAGAAAGAAAATTTTTGGTCACCCATCCAATGACCGACCATTGCGAAAGTTGCTTAACTTCAACGATCGCAGCCGAACGCGCTAGCTACATGCGCCATCGAGCTCCTAAACAAAAAGATGTAATAAATCGAATTTAAGCGAAAATCCTGGGTATTTGCAAAAACGCGGATAATTAGACAATGCTGATGACATTGCTTAACTTTACTGAAAAAATGAAGGAATTCTGCGAAAACGGGTGTCGCCTCAGTAAGATTGCGAAAAGGGTCGTTAGCTTATTATAAATATTTTTGGGTTCACACTAGGTTAGGTTAGGTTAGATGGATGAAGGATAATTTCCTTTTTCAAACAAATTTCGTTAACAGTAAGATCTAAAGAATTTTACGCGTTTTTGCAAAATTACTAGTATTTCTGCGAATATTTGACACAACAAATCATCCTATAACAAAAAAAATGTAGCTGTTTTTGTTTCAGCAATATAATAGTTGTAGCTTTATTCAATACAGCAATATGTATCTAAGTACTGTGATTACTAACTCAGGACAAACACTCCAATTCAAGAGGAATACCTTATCTACGAGTATTACATATTTTGAGTTCTGCGGATTTTAAGAACTTCATTAATGTGTGAAATTTATACTGACATTAGGTTGCTACACCGGGCGCCTACAAAACTTAGGCGCGTATTATAGAAAGATTCTCAATAATGAATCTAGTCTTGAGCATAGTTAGAAAGGGATGTCGCTATATATAGCACATAGCGACATCCCTTTCTAACTGTACTCAAGTAAAGATGTCATTCTGTAATACGGGCCTTTTTCGCTGGGCAATATTTTAACATCTCGTCAATTCTCCATTTAAAATGTAATCTAGATGAAAAAATAAAGCTTAATCTTTAATTTTTTATACTTGAAAACACATATTTTTTATATATCGGTCTCATTTTCACACAACATCATACAATTTATAAATGCACTGAAGCATGTTGCGCACCAAATGCTTACACATTAGAAGCCAATTTTTTACACTTCATTTTCATGTTTTTTTCAGATAACAAGTAAGTGGTTATAGTTCATTCGCGTTAAGAAAATAGTGACTCATCACCGACTGCCGGCCAAGCCACGCCCCCTAGCCAATTAAAACGCTAGAAATTAGTAAGGCGAGTTCACAGTGCTCAGTTGAAGTCAGACCTTCGAACTGATCGGTTGTGTATTTTGCGTACTACTTGTTTAAAATTAAATTTGGAAAATGGATATCTCACCTATTAAAAAAAATAAAAGTGGATCAATTATACATAGCGGAGAGAGACGCGTAATTTACAATGTTTATAAATATTTCAAACAGATTGATTTAAATGAGACTGTGGAGAGCATAGTAATTAAAACTGCAAGTGCATGCGGTGTGTCCGAAAACACTGTTTATAAAATTATAAAAGAACAAAAAGAAACGAATACATTGAAATCACCTGTGAAAAAAAGAGCTCGACTATCCACGGTCGATAAATTAGATGAACTAGACAAATGTGCAATAAGGAGAAAAGTACACTCTATATATTTAAATAACGAGTATCCAACATTGGACAAAATAATAACACTTTGCGAAGCTGATGAAGATATTCCTGTTTTCAAACGTACAACACTTCACAAAATACTGCACGAGCTTGGTTTTGACTTCAATAAACAAGATAGTAGAAAATTGTTAGTGGAAAGAGAAGATATTGTTTTATGGAGGCGAAAATATTTAAGACAAATAAAAGAATATAGAAACGCTAATAAAACCATTTACTATCTCGACGAAACGTGGGTAAACGCCGGACACGTAAAAACAAAAGTGTGGTTGGATACAACAATCAAGAATAAAAGACAAGCTTTCCAAGATGGCTTATCAACCGGCCCAAAAGCTCCGACAGGGAAAGGGAAAAGGTTAATTATATTGCACATTGGCAGCGAAAAAGGATTCCTGGAAGATGGTTTACTAGTCTTTGAATCTAAATCTACAAAAGATTATCATGAAGAAATGGATGGTGAAAGATTCCTTAATTGGTTCAATGGTATAATACCGAAGCTTGAACCAGGAAGTGTGGTTGTCATGGATAACGCTCCCTACCATTCGGTAAAAGTTGAAAAAATACCCACGGCCAGTTGGAATAAGCAGCAAATACTAGAGTGGTTGCAAAACAAAGACATATCTATGGATATGAGTTATTTGAAAAAAGAATTATTATTGAAAGTCGCCGAAATCGCCCCACAATATAATAAATATTTAGTAGATGAGACTGCTAAAAACAATGGCATTACAATTCTTCGTCTGCCGCCTTACCATTGTAAATTAAATCCGATTGAAATGGTGTGGGCCCAAATAAAAAATTATATTGCTGCGAATAATACTACATTCAAAATGAGTGACGTAAAAAAAAAATTTTATGACGCAATCGCGTTAGTAGACGCCAATCGGTGGAAGAAATGCTGCGACCACGTGATACGCGAAGAAAATACCATGTGGGGTTTGGATGACGTCATGGAACATGCAGAACAAAATTCATTCGTAATAAATGTAACGGGAGAATCTAGCGATACTGATTAGCGATTTAAGTACTTAGTTTTAAGACAATTTTGTATTTTTTTATTTTAGTACTTATTACGATTAATCCAAATATGTGTTACTCTACTAATATAGCGTTTAAGTTGACATTAAAAATTACCTTAATAGGAATATTTTAACATGTTTAAAATCATTGATACTTTATTATTTTTCTATTAAACTTATTTAATGTTTTGAAAAAAAATGTTTAATTTTTTCTCCATTATGAATACACCCTTACCCTGCAGTTGCACTGATGAGTCACTATTTTCTTAACGCGAATGAACTATAGTCTATTGCCTGGGTTCCGAACCTGGGGGTAATTACCCCTCCGGGGGTAAATCAGCCATACTTTGGGGGTAACAAAGAACCTAATTATTTGGTCCAATCTAAATAATAAGCAAACACTATATAAAAATACTACTAAATAGAACATGCTCTCCTTCTTGCTAGCGAGCCCGCGGGGTGCTGAGTGTGGGAAGCGGAGCGAGATTTCCTCCTGATGATGACATTATTAGAGACGAAGATGTAGCGGCCAAATTGGAATTTCTTGGACTGATGATAACATTTTAAAATCGGGGTGAAATCTGTTTTCCTAGTAGGTTACAGGGGTAGCAGTATTGGTAAGGTTAGGTAACACTGGATATTGCATAAAACATTTTTCAAAGTCGCACTTTTCATTGCCTACCTAAGAAAGTATACAACGTGTTTCTCCTTTCCTACAATCTGAGGTCGTTTTTGAGAGACGTGAAGGAGCATTTCTGCCGGCAAAGTGAGGTTGGTTGTTGTGGCAGTTTATAACTTTAAAATTGACGCTTTTCGTGTCAGTTTCTACATCAGACAACTGTGGATAAGGTACAGCAGGAGGTCGTATAGTACCATCAGAGTTCAATATAATGATATTTTTTGTATTCTGATTAGTGATGTAACGAATATTATTCACATTCGCGAATATTCGCATATTTTTGAATATTCGCATTCGCAAAATCTCTGCGAATGTTTTGCGAGTATGAATATTAGAAAAAAACAATTTGAAGAAGTTGTAGTTCTGCCTTTCCTTGAATATTCATTATTACACAGTTTGCATTTAGCTTCTTCAGCATAGCAAAGTGTGAAATAAGTCCATGTTTCACTAGAATTCGATTTACTCATGTTAATAAATCACTATTACCACTCACAATCACTAACCTCAAAATTCACTTGTTTTGTTTACGGAAAGACCGGTGCGAGCGGAATGACACTTCAGTCGGATGAGTTCATATCAACTCGGCAATTCGAACGAGACTGCCACCATGCCATAGACAATTGGCGCCAATTTAAAAAATAACTAAATATTCGCATTCGCGAATGTCGGTACCAGACATTCGCATCCGCATTCGCATTCGCGAATGTTCAAAAAATGACATTCGTTACATCACTAATTCTGATGGGTCTGCCGAGATTTTGCAGTGCTTCTACAATGTTCGCGGAGGCTGGGGTATCGGACTTCTATGCTGTTATTAGGGCGCGCATAGCTTCTTTTTGGGAGGGACTGCGCTGCTCTGGTAACCGCATACTAAAATGTTTGTACGCGGATTTTCACAAACCAATTTATAGATATTGGCTATCTGTGCTCACTGAAGGGAATCTCAAGTAGAAGATTGACTTTGTATTATGACAATATAAATGTATTTTTAATTAGTTTTTATATTGTATCATGTTTTAAATATGGGTCTTAGCTACCTGTATGTACGAGTTACCGATCGTAAATAGGTTTTTGTTTATGTGCAAGTACATTATTTTAAGGTCGTGTTTCGTAAGCGTTTGCAATTTGTACAATAATGTTTAATTACCTATATGAAAAAAAATCAGTGACAATTTAGCACTCTAACGGGACGGTTTTATTTATCATCACCCAATCGTTCTAACTTATCAGTATCAATTATCATTTTCTATTAAATGTAAGAAGGCTTACGCATTACCCCTTACATTTATTTTGGTCCTTCGAGAAATTTGTGAATCCTGTCCTTTTA